TACTTTTTTACTTACTAGTTAGCTGATTGAATGTGCCACTTGTCATCTCTAATTTTTTTAGTAATATTTTTAAATTTAGTCTTTGAATATCTGATACGTGTATACAATGTATTTTGTTCATATCTATCTACTACTCCCTACTTCCAGTTATCCCTAGTGCTCCCCAACCTGTCTTTCTCCCAACTTCATGTCCTTTGTTGTTGAATAACTGAGCCTGAGGCTTCCTCCCTTGCTTTCATAGTTCTGGAAGCTACTCCACAGGCTACTGGAGGAGAACAGGCATCAACAGTCTTGTTGCCCAGCTGAGAACTCCTTGAACCTGTCAGGCAAAATGTGCCCACTGGCGTAATAGTGGCACAACTGTTAGGGGAGTAATCAATCATTCTCTGATTATATTTGAGGCCTGCATCACAAGAATGAATTTATGTCTGGTGCTGTAAACCTGGTTAAAAAAAAATCTGTGGCTGAGGAAGTCAACCCTTAGACGTGAACTTACTACTGTTGTTTGGATAAATTGTTATGGTACCAAGTTGCCTTCTAAAAATTTATTTGATGCCGGGCGGTGGTGGCGCATGCCTTTAATCCCAGCACTCGGGAGGCAGAGGCAGGCGGATCTCTGTGAGTTTGAGGCCAGCCTGGTCTCCAAGAGCTAGTTCCAGGACAGGAACCAAAAGCTACGGAGAAACCCTGTCTCGAAAAATCAAAAAAAAATTATTTGAAGGAATTATAGTAAATGTTAGTTCGAGCCTTAAACAGTGAGGCTTCTCTGCAGTGTATGCAGAGACTCAGGGTTGCTCAAGGTCTTGAGAATGAGTGACAGCTGAGTATTCAGCTCTAAACTGGACGTTTGTACCAACACTTGCAGGGCTTAGGGATTGTTGTAGAACAGGAAGTAGAAAGAGTGTAAGAGCTGGAAGATAAGGAGAAGGGCTGTAAAATTTTTACCTCTAGGCATGAATAACACAGTTCAAAAAGTCATAACCTCATAGCAACTATGGTTGCCTGCAGTAGTCCTGTACAAGACTGGATCTGTCAACTGTTAGTAATGGATTAGGAGGCACTCACAGCGCCCTGTCTTCCTGGCTAAAATATTGGCTACTGATGGTTTCTGTTGAAGAGGAAGTCATTCATGTGTGTACCCACTGAGGCTCCCACTAGGAAATAGTTCCAAACCCATGGTCACACAGATGATACTAGTTAACCTCTGAGTCTCAAAACCAAAACCAAAATGAAACAATAACAAAAAGAAAAAAATAAAGCCATGATTATGGGAGAGGGACTTGTGGGGAGAATGGGAGTTTAATAGGGTGGGAAGGGGATTAGAGAGGCCAGTGATCCGAAGGGATTTTATACATGTGTAAAATTGTCAAAGAACAAACTCAATAAAAGTAATAGAGAGAAAATGGGAACAAACACTGAAAAGAACGATGCCCTGTCCTGTGAAATAACTGAACAGAAAAACAATTGTGTTGTCTGTTCCCAGTTCTCCTTTAAAGTCATTCCTCTCCAGTATATGAGCCAGTGTGTGTGTGTGTGTGTGTGTGTGTGTGTGTGTGTGTTAAGATGATTAGCAAGTTTGAGAACTTCAGCTAGTCACATTTCAGAAGTGAGTGACCCTAACAAAAGTTACAATCGTACTTTGGTAAGTCCTGCTGCATCTTGTCCAAAAGGAGGAAAGTCAGAATAAAAAAAAATGAGCATCAAGAAAACAAATAGCCCAATTAAAAATGGGGTACAGAACTAAGCAGAGAGTTCTCATAAGATGAAACACAAATGTCTGAGAAACACTTAAAGAAATGTTCAGCATATTTAGCCACTAGGGAAGTGCAAATTAAAATTACTTTGAGATTTTATCTTACTCCAGTCAGAAGGGCCAAGGTCAATAAAATAAATGACATCATATTCTGTCAAGATTGTAGGGAAAGAGAAACACTTATTCATTGCTGGCAGGAACGCAAACTTGTACGGCAATGTGGAAATCAATGTGGCAGTTCCCTAGGAAGCTGAAAACAGATCTATCTTAAGATCCAGCTGTACCACTCTTGAGCATATACACAAAGAACTCTACATACTACTACAGAGACTTATCTGTGTTCATTGCTGATCTATTCATAAGAGCCAGAAATTGGAAAGGGCCCAGATGTTCATCCACTGATGAATGGATATTGAAAATGTGGTACATTTATACAAATAATATTCAACTGTTTAGGAAAATGAAATTTGCAGGTAAATGGATTGAGCTAGGAAAATAACCTTGAGTGTGGCAACCCAGAATCCAGCAGACAAATATTTGGTTTTCTCTCATATGTGGATGGTAGCTTTTAGCTTTCAAAATATGTGCTACAATCTGAATAAGCACAGAGGGCAGGTACCTGGCAAGAGACCAGGGAGAAGGGGAGGCTCTTCCAAGATGGGGAAGTAGAGTGTAGTGCTTTGGAGAGATAGAGGAAAAACTATAGGAGGATTAAATAGGGAGGGAACAGACGAGAAAGGTAAAGAAGGGACTAAGGGGAGTGACGACACTAAAAGGACATCTGAAAAATCATATGGAAATCTGCTACCATAGAAGTTCTTAATATATGTACCCATGTCAAAGAAATCTAAATAAGTCACCAACTATTAAGAGTGGAAAAGCCTCAAATAGACATTTTATGCCACCAAATAAATCTCCCAATGCCAAGAATGTGTTGCATCTTGTTGAGTCACCAAACAAAAGGGTACCATGAAACCTCCCCAGATATCATAGACTATTACCAAAGCTATTGCTTTCTCTCTACAACCTGATTGTAAGGCCCCATTGCAAAGACACTTACTTATATCATAGAACTCTTGGAGAAGTAGAGCTGGTGCCCGTCTAGAAGCTTCACTCCTATTAAGTAGCTTTTTTGATACTAGAAGGCACTCTGAACACTTCCAGAGGAGAAAGGTAATCATCAATGTCACCCAGCCACAAATGTTACAACAACAGTGACCTGCCTGGAGTATATGCTGGTATAATGTGGCAAAAGTGTTATGGGACTAACCAACCAGTCTTTTTTTTTTTTTTTAATTTGGATTTAAGGCCTGTTTCATGGTTTCATGAGATAGAGTCTGTCCCTGACACTGCTAAAAGTGCCAAGAACCCAAGACTAGCTAGGTCATGGGCCTAGGGAAAATACCTACTGCTATTGCTCTTCTAAAGGAACACAGTAATAAAATGACTCCTAATTACAGGGCTTTACTCAGTCCACACCAGAGAAGTTTCTCCTTGCAGTAGATGGGAACTAACACAGTCACAACCATACAATGACAGAGAGTGGCAGACTTTGGAACACTCAGCACTAAATGGAATGTCTTCATCAAGCCTCTCTCCTCAAGGCTCTGAGATCTATGTGGAAGAGGAGGCAGGAAGATCATAAGAACCAGAGGTGGTGGATGACAGAAAGGAAACAGTGTTTTTCAGACACAGCAGGAAGGATGCACATATGAGCTCACTGAGACTGTGGCAGCATGTGGACTCCCACTCCTAACCAAGACGCTATCTGCAGTCGATACCCACTGTCAAAGGGAAACTCAGCTTTCTGCAGTGCAGTCTCAGTGTATGAATCACATTCAAGGACAGGCCCGTGGCCGGGAGTTGTTGGCTGATACAGACAAATCCCATGGGTTTTGTGCAGGCTTTCTGTCTCATTTTGCTTTTGTTTTGCTTTGGCATTTTTTTGTCTTACTGATTTTTTTGTTTGTTCTGGTTTTAATTTTTGTGTTTTGTGCTTTTTTGAAAGAGAGATTATGAGGTGGGTAGTGAGGTAGGGAACTGAGAAGGATATGGGAGGAGTTTGAGGAGGGGAAACATGAAAATATATTGTATGAATGAAGTTTTTTAAATAAAGAAAAAAAAGAAAATCAAATCAATACAGTGGAAGAGAAACTCAAAGCACATTTTATTGACAATTAACTTCCTACTCTCTGGTTATTTTCTTTTTCTACCTGCTGTCTTCACATCCAGATCATGAATTATTCAGACCTCAGAAAGAGAAGAACCTTCATTGTTTTCTTAACTGTGAAGGGCTCTCGGTAGTTGAGGAAGGAGAATGAAATAAGTTGTATTCTGGATCAGGGCTCCCAGGAGTGGACCTGATTAGAAAGATTTGCTTTATTCTGGCCTTCCATCAGATTGTGGGGTTACTTCAAGATGCAACTCAAGCCAAGCTCTTTCTTGAGGAACATGCAGATATACTACTACCATGGAGCCAATGAAGGAATTTTTCATAGGGTCACCAATGAGATTTGTATTTAATGCTGAAACTTGACTCTAAATACTCAGGCATTTAAATTCATTAGCCATTTTGAAGACTCCCATGATAAACAAGAAATATTGTAATAAGAGTCAGGACAACATCATACAACTCAGGACCAAGATCAAATAAGATTTGAATACTTTTCTCCAGACTTAATATAGAAGAATGAAGTATAAATAGGCTAAATAGAGATAAGAGAGTGAAATATTTAAGAATAGCTCTAAGGTGTGGTTTTCAACATTCATAATGCTGCTGCAGCCCTTTACTACAGTTCCCCATGTTGTGGTGACCCCCAACCATAAAATTATTTCATTGCTACTTTACAACTGAATTTTTGCTACTTTTATGAATTGTATTATAAATATCTGCTATGTAGCATACTGCAGCCCCCAAGGAGTTGTGACCCACAGGTTAAGAACCACTGCCCTAAAGGACAGAGATGACAGGCAAAAACAAGGGAGAGAAAGTGTGTGTGTGTGTGTGTGTGTGTGTGTGTGTGTGCATGCACACACACCTGCATGTATTTGCAATGTGTGTGTTTTAAGAGACTATCTTATAGGCATATTTAATTTCAAACATCTGAGTCTACAATACATTTCCAAGCAATAGTGGAGACTTGGATAGTTTGAAGGGAAGAAAAATCAAGTCGAATGTAACTAATTAAAATAGAGCATATTGAATTCTGAAGTAAAGCTTAACCTCTCTCTTGGTTTGAACTTGCAGGTCCTTGCTAAACACAAAGGGTTGCAATGGGATAAAGTCCTACGGCTAGAAGAAGTGCAAACGCAACTGGGGATTAGTCTGGAAGAAATGCTGTTGGTCACAGAGGATGCGCTTCACGCTGAACCCTACAGCAGGGAGGAGATCTGCAAGTGCCTGGGGATTAGCGTGGAGGAACTCCGTACTCAAATCCTGAGTCCAAATACTCAAGATGGTGAGTCTGCTGGAGGAAGAATAGCATGGCCTATACACAGATGGAAGCATTCAAACTTTGCCCTGGATATTACAGATTTAAAACTGTGTTTTAAGGAACTTGGAGAATGTGTGTGCTTTGGCTAACTGTTTGTCTAGGTCTTTAGCTTCCTGCCTGCTCACTTATCAACAAGCATTTCTAGTATATGGTAGATATTCTGTGTCTCAGGAGACTCCCAACTCGCAAATTTTCTCGTTTTGTATTTATGTTTTCCTATTTGCTTTCCAGTTATATTGTTACTATGAAAAGATTAGGTTACAGATTTACTTGTAGCTTCTCTACTATTACTCTGGAACTCCAGAAGGGCTTCACTGCTTCTGTTGAAGTTTTCAGCCTGCAAAATACAAAAATGGCTGGTTGCTATTTTTTTGCTGGTTGCCTTTGAATGATGCTGTTTTTATCTAATGGTATCAGTAACAGATGAGGATGGGGTACATTTTCGAGGGCCTGTCATGAAGTTTTGGGGTGGCTGATCCTCTTAAAAGGACAGAGTTTCTATTTGTGGAAAGCCGAGAACCTGGTTATTTAATTGAGACTTAATTTCCTATGATGGGAAGTTAGGGAGGCAAGCGCTTGGTGCAGAAATCAACCTCAGAGCCCCCATTGCACTGTACCATTCAGTTCAGCTATACAACTGGCGAAAGATCATCTGCCATGGAATTCTGATTCATTCCGTCTGTCTGTCCGTCTATCTATCTGTCTGTCTGTCCGTCTACCTCTCTACCTATCTATTGTTGTGGTGCTAGGGCTCAGATCCAGGGCTTCAGGCATGCTAAGCAGGTGTTGTACCCTACACCCCAGGCCCGGATCTCACTAAGTTACCCAGACAGGCCTTGAACTCACCATGTAATCCAAGCTGTCTTACATAATATTGGGATCTCTGGCCCCAGTCTCCTGATTTTGGCCTGTACCACAAGACCTGGCTCCAAAGTAATGTTTTAAGACTGCAGCTGATGACAACTTTGGGACAAGATATGGGCATACTTTGAGCACAGGGGCTGAGTTCTGGTTTCTGATGTTCTCGTATCTATTTCAGTTCAGGCTCAGACCCAGACCCTAGAAGTGGGTGAGCACCCTTGACTGCTGGCCAAAGCAAGCCCACCACCTGTTTTTGTAAGAAGTTTTTGCTAGACCACAGCGATCTATTTGCTATGGTTCTTCAGTTCTACAAGAGCTGAGTGTGACAGAGACTAAGTAACCCACAAAACCTGAGATATTTCCTATTGGCCCTTTTCTTGTTCCAGAAAAGCAGTTAACTCAAGTTTTCTCTGTTTTGCATGAAGAGAGGCACAGTGGAAGTTCTCCTTAGAGGAGCAACTGTACTCCATACATGAACAGAGCTCAGTGCTGGAGAGATGCGTGTGGTCACTGAGATCCCCTGGGAGACCAGGAAGGAGAAGTCTCATTGGCTTTCCTAAGGACGTAGCAGCTACCAAGAGTTAAAGAGCAGATGAGTCCCAGGCAGACAGGACGGCAGGTGCAGTGCAGAGGCATGAAAGGGCTCCAGGCCAGAGAAAGCAGAGCACTTTTGGGACTAAAGCCTACAGTGGAGAGTGCTTTAGCTTGAATTCTAAATGATCTCAATAATAAAAACCCCAAGTTAGATAACAGGGGTTGATGCTGAGAGATCAGAGAAGCAGAGCAGCCAGCCACTAGTTCTTACCTCTATGAAATCCTCAGAGCGATGGGGCATCCTGTCTCTAGGAATCCTCAGCCTGAGTGCCTGTCTCCTCCGGTGCTATATTCCTCTCTCTGTCCAGCCATATCTCTTCCTGTCTCCACTTCCCTAGTGCAGGGATTAAAGGCCTGTGACTTCCAAATACTGGGATTAAAGGTTTGAGCCACCACTGCCTGACTCTGTTTCTCTTTTTGACTGAATCAATCTCGCGTAGCCCAGGGTGGCCTTGAACTCACAGAGATCTGTCTGCCTCTGTCTCCTAAGTGCTGGGATTAAAGGTGTGTGCCACCATCTCCCTGGCCTCTAGTGGCTTAGCTCTGCACTTGGATCTTCAGGAAAGCTTTATTTGTTAAAACACAAACAAAGTATCACCACCGAGTGCTGTGCAGGGAGACAGAGACTGAGGACAGAGACATACAGCTACATTCAGCTCCCCAAAGCCTTCCTAAAGACGGTGTGCATGTGTGTGCTCTCGTATGTTGAATCTAGGTTTATAAATATGTGCAACTCTAAAGCAGAAGTGAGGCTATTGAAGGGGAGGAGAGGGACCAGCGGGATGGGGGATAAGAGAGCATGGTGAGGGTTGTTGGGAATAAAGCACCATGATACACGTGTAGGAAAGGTAATGTAGCTCAGTATTGTGTACACTAATTCAAAGTCAAGTTTATTAAATGAAGAAATTGAGCAGAACATTGAAAGGGAGGGTGTCCAGGGACTCTGACTTTCTCTTTTGACCTAAAACATTGTCTAGTTAACTCGACAGATAGGCTGGGGTAATAGGGTGAAGTCTTTACCTTCCCGTGTCTCAATATCTCATAGGGATAAGTGCCACACAACAATGTGGCAAATGCAAGTACTGGCTAGAATCAGGGTGTTTATCAAGAGTCCTGGGAGCCTGGGAGAGATAAGTGGCTTTGGTTCTGCAAAAGGAGACTTGAATTTGAGCTGGTCTGTGGATTCCCCAGCCTAAGAGGGTGTTATGTTAGGCCACTGCAGACAGAGGCTGAATAAAGACAAGGGGGCTCCACAGGTTGAGTATTTGAGAGTGTGTGCCGGGGCCACGGTGTGCTGTGAAGGGCAGCAGATCTGTTGGCATGGTGCCCATTCAGAAACCAGGTTACTGCTCTACACTGAAAAGATAAAGCATTGGTGAGGGTTAGGCTCTCAAGACCGCAAAGGAGCATCCAGTTAGAGTTGTTGGAGGAAGGACAGGCAGGAGATGGGGGAGGGGGCAGCAGGGAGGCTAAGCTATGGCATGGGCAGCTTGGGAAGTTAGGATGCCATATGAGAATAGTTTGGGGAGATAAGGTGACAAATTCACTTTTTTCCATCATTTTTTTTTCTAGTGCCTGAACAAAGATGTAGAACAGGTGTGTGTCTAAATGAACTAGTGTGATTTGGTCATTGCTGGTGAGCAGGTGAGGGTGTCATAGGCACTGAAAAAATTCTGTCAATAATGCTCTTGGCACATTGAGTTTCCACGGTGAGTTTCCCTGAGGGTTGAGAGGCCTTGCGGGCTCCCCACTCTCCAGCTGCTTCAGTGTGCTTCATCTCATGGTAACCTTTGTCCCTTCTGTCCCACCTACCTTGTGAACCTGAGCACAGCCATGAGGTCAGTGTTATGTGGGCTAGCCCATGCCTTTACTTCTCAGAAGCTAGGTCTTCCTTCAGGCTTATGTTGTGTTACGAGCGGCAGGGCTGCGTCCCTGGCATGCGGCCGCCCGCATGGCTAGCTTTACCCGAAATAATTACACGGAAACTGTATTCTTTTAAACACTGCCTGACCCATTAGTTTCAGTTTCTTATTGGCTAGCTTTTACATATTGATCTAACCCATTTCTATTAATCTGTGTAGCCCATGAGCTGGCTTACCAGGAATGATCTTAACCTGCGTCTGTCTGGAGTGGGAGAATCATGGCGACTCCCTGAATCAGCTTCTTTCTCCCAGCATTCCGTTCTGTTTACTCCGCCTACCTAAGGGTTGGCCTATCAAATGGGTCTAGGCATTTTCTTTATTAATAAGAAATTACTCCCACATCATTTCCCCTTTTTCTGTTTAAACAAAAAAGAAAGGCTTTAACTTTAACATAGTAAAATTACATATAGCAAAACAGTTATCAAGCAAGAATTACAGTTACAATATTTATATCTATTTTATCTTTTATCATAACTAAGGAAAACTATAACTATCTATTCATTCTTCAACTCCATCAAAGACTCCAGAAGGATATAATACTACCTAAGTAAACAAGAAATAAGAAAACTCTAGAAATGACAGAGACATCTTGCTGCCTGGACAGTCACCCAAAGTTCTTTTGTATGGTTGGGGCATCCATCTTCAGCCTTCAGGCCCATAGTATCCAGCAGACATTTCCATGAAGCAGGAAATTTCAAAGACAGTTCAGTCACTATCTGCTGTGTCCTGCAGAATGTCTCGCAGACTCTTTCATGAGTCATGAACCCCAAAAGACCGTCTCACCTTTAGGCAAGTTCAGCAGTCCTCTCTCTGCGGGTTCTCTGTGTCCATTTTATGCAACAGTCCAGGCAAGAGCAGTTTCTTGCCCAAATGGCTATCCAACTCCATAAGGATCCTCTTCGATGCCCATCTTCCTCTCGAAGTAGATTGGTGCTGTCAGGAGCAGACGTGTCTCATTGTCATGAAAAGTCCTAAGTTATTAAAATATTTTAAATGCCATATTCTGCAGCCTTTGAGAGATATGAAGAATGCCTATCTGAAATATATCTCTATATATCTAGAAAATCTAAGTGACATGACTACAAACTTGACTATTATTTATGACTATCCATCAACAACCTATATTTCCTAATTATACATTACATTTTAAAAGTGAACTACACAATCACAATACCTTAATCAAGATCAGAAATACATATACAAATAACAAAATTGACTGTAAAATCCACACCAATGCAAATTACTCATACCTATATCATTTCCCCCTTTAAATGTAAAAGAACATTTACAAACAAAATTTTGGGAACATGGGCGCAGTTTTTTCTCTCCAAACTGCTTCCTGCTGAATGGGGGCGCTGTTAATCAGATCATTTAGGGTGTAACCTGTGTGTCAGGTTTATCTCAGTTGCCAGTTGAGTGAAGTAATTTTTTGAGGGTGTTCACAGGAAATTTTCAGGAGGTCGTGGTCTATCATACCAAATTGGAATAGAAGAAATCCACAGGGTCTGGTCCTCTGTGAAAACAAAAGAAGACCCTTTCCAAAGTATCATATCCTTAGACCCAAATTTTGAAATCGTAATACCTTTA